GGGGGGGGCTCACACAAAAGAGGTGACGCACAGACAGAACTTGGGCTCAGCAGCTCCCGTTGAGGGTCAGGGAGGTGGAGGGGGCGGACGGACTGACGGATGCGGGCGCAGGGTCCCATCGGATGAGGATCAGGATGAGTGGGACGTGCAGCAGAAGGACAGACGGACGTCGGGAGCGTCCACAGGCAGCAGAGGCAGCAGATCCAGCAGGACAGACAGACAGACAGCCGACGGACCGAGCCTGAGTCGGGTGGGATGGAAAGACAGACGGACGTGGGGTTGGTGGTGGGGAGATATAGGACGTGGTTCAGATGGAGGGGCAGAGCAGGCAGCTGGGGACTCAGTCCATTGGGACAGACGGACGGACAGACACAGGCACGGTGTTTTGGATGCCCAACACGTGGTTCAGGTCACAGACGGACAGACGGACCCAAGCTCTTGGCTCAGATGCCCAAGCACACGTTCAGGTGGGAGATGGTGGCAGAGAGATGGACAGACGGACGCCGGCCGGGTGGCTCAGACATCCAGCATGTGGTTCAGATAGGAGATCACGGCCGACAGAGGGACAGACGGACAGTCAGACACCGGCTAGACAGCTCAGACGTCCAGCACGTGGTTCAGGTAGGAGATGACAGCCGAGAGACAGACAGACGGACGGACAGATGCCAGCCAGGCTGCTCAGACATCCAGAACGTGGTTCAGGTAGGAGATGATGGCTTAGAGATGGACAGATGGACAGATGGACATCAGCTAGGCAGTTCAGATGTCCAGCACGAGGTTCAGGTAGGAGATGACATCTGAGAGATGGACAGACAGATGCTGGCTGGGTGGCTTGGACATCCAGCACGTGGTTCAGGTAGGAGATGACAGCCAAGAGACAGACAGACGGATGGACAGATGCCAGCCAGGTGGCTCAGATGTCCAGCACATGGTTCAAGTAGGAGATGATGGCCGAGGAATGGACAGATGGACATCAGCTAGGCATTCAGACGTCCAGCACAAGGTTCAGGTAGGAGATGACATCTGAGAGATGGACAGACAGATGCTGGCCGGGCAGCTCAGACGTCCAGAACATGGTTCAGGTAGGAGATGACGGCTGAGAGACGGACAGATGGATGGACAGACGCCAGCCAGGTGGCTCAGATGTCCAGCACACAGTTCAGGTAGGAAATGATGGCCGAGGAATGGACAGACGGACAGATGGACAGCAGCTGGGTGGCTCAGATGTCCAGCACATGGTTCAAGTAGGAGATGATGGCCAATGAATGGACAGATGGACATCAGCTAGGCAGTTCAGACGTCCAGCACGTGGTTCAGGTAGGAGATGACATCTGAGAGATGGACAGACAGATGCTGGCCGGGCAACTTAGACGTCCAGAACATGGTTCAGGTAGGAGATGACGGCCAAGAGACGGACAGACAGAGAGTCAGACGCTGGCCAGGAAGCTCAGACATCCAACACATGGTTCAGGTAGGAGATGACGACTGCGAAACGGACAGACGGACGCTTGGCCGGGCGGCTCAGACGTCCAGAACATGGTTCAGGTAGGAGATGACAGCCGAGAGACGGACAGACGGACAGTCAGATGCTGGCCAGGAAGCTCAGACATCCAACACATGGTTTGGGTAGGAGATGACGGCTGAGAGATGGACAGACGGACGCTTGGCCGGGCGGCTCAGACGTCCAGAACGTGGTTCAGGTAGGAGATGATGGCCGAGAGATGGACAGACGGAGAGTCAGATGCTGGCCAGGAAGCTCAGACATCCAACACATGGTTTGGGTAGGAGATGACAGCTGAGAGATGGACAGACAGATGCTGGCTGGGTGGCTCGGACGTCCAGAACATGGTTCAGGTAGGAGATGACGGCCGAGAGACGGACAGACGGACAGTCAGATGCTGGCCAGGAAGCTCAGACATCCAACACATGGTTTGGGTAGGAGATGACGACTGCGAAATGGACAGACAGACGCTGGCTGGGCGCCTCAGATGTCCAGAACATGGTTCAGGTAGGAGATGACATCCAAGAGATGGACAGACGGAGAGTCAGATGCCGGCCAGGAAGCTCAGACATCCAACACATGGTTTGGGTAGGAGATGACGGCTGAGAGATGGACATATGGACATCAGCTAGGCAGCTCAGACGTCCAGCACGTGGTTCAGGTAGGAGATGTAGCAGATGGCCAGGCGCAAGATCTCGATCTTGGAGAGCTTCTTGTCCGGGGGCAGGGTGGGCAGCAGCTTCCTCAGCTCGGCGAAGGCCATGTTGAAGGCCTCCACGCGGATCCTCTCCCGCGTGGCGTGGGCTGTCCGGTATTTGGCCGTGGCCCGGCGCCGGCGCCGCCGTTCCTCCCGGCTCAGGTGCTGCAGATCTTTCTTCACAGCTTCACCCGCTTCGGCCACCCGGGATTGGGGGCACAAACCGAGGCCACCGGTGTCCTCCCCGGTGCCCCCTCGGCCGCCGCCGCAGTCGCTGAAGACGGATTCGGATTCGGAGTGCGTCGGGGGCAGGTCGATCTCCGTCTGGTCCGAGTTGAGCATCATCCTGGAAGAACTTGGGGGGGGTGGGACGGCAGGAGGAACAGACGGACCCGGGCACGAGGCCGAAGCTCAAATATTCTACTCTTAGAAGGAAGGTTTCCAGCTCACAGCAAGCCCCTGGTTGTTCTCCTCCTCTTCCTCCTCATCACACACGGTCCCTGCGAGGGAATTCCAAAATTCTCCTTTTTCCCCGGAGGATTCCTTGGGCGGGCGGCAGCTTTCACGATGAAGAGGGGGAGGAAGGTGGCAGGATGCATATAAATAAATAAATATATGAAATAAATAGATCTCCTCTCCCCTCCCCACTGCGCCCGGAGACCCCCGGGCTCTTCCACGCGGCCGCGGCAGGACCCAGCTCGGGAGCCGTCAGGTGTCAGAGCCGAACTCCTTCCGTCTGCTCTGGAAAAGAGAAGGAAAAGGGGGGTCTCAGGACCACCCGGCTCCCCACAGACTCCCCCCCGAGATGTAGGTGGGGAGCGGGGCTTTGTGCTCCAGCTGGGACAGGGGACAACAGGGCTGTGGGTCCCCCGGTGGCGGCGGGGGAGCCGGTGGAGCGGCTGCGGGAGAAGGTAGAAGCCATTTCTCCCGGTTCTCCGGAGAGATGCCAGGTGGTGGATGAGCGGAGGGGAAAAACAGACTGCGGGGGCGAGAGGAAAAAGGGGAGGAGGGGGGGTGGAGGGGAGGGGGCTCATTGTATCGTAAATGAGCCCGTATGTCATGGATCCTGGCACCCCCGACATATGGAACCCAACACAGCTGCTTTGCTTGATGTGTCCAAATAGACGCTGGCTCCCGGCTCCCTCCGGGACGCCGCGCCGACGGCCGGGAAAGATGCTTCTCCTCTCCCTTCTCCCCCCCGGCCCCGGCTGCTTTTTCCAGCCCTGGCTTCAACACAGTGAGCTGGGGGGGGACAACGGGGACCCCGGGGCTGCACAGATGCCTCCAGCACCCCGGGAACAGGGCTGGGAAAGGCAGGTCTTGCCGAAAGAGTATCTTTCCCCCAGCACATCCTTCCCCCCGTACATCTTTGCACTAGTACATATTTCTTTGCACCAGGGGATTTTTCTCCCAGCACATCTTTCCCCCAGAGCATCTTTCCCCTACTTCATCTTTCCCCCAGCACATCTGTTTCCCCCAACACATCTTTCCCCCAATTCATCTTTCCCCGAGCACACCTTTCTCCCAGTTCATCTTTCTCCCAGCACATCTTTTTGCCCCAGCACATCTTTCCCCCAATTCATCTTTCCCCAAGCACACCTTTCTCCCAGAGCATCTTTCTCCCAGCGCATCTTTTCCCCAGTTAATCTTTCTCCCAGTGCATCTTTTTACCCCAGCACATCTTTCCCCCAATTCATCTTTCCCTGAGCACACCTTTCTCCCACTGCATCTTTCCCCCAGTGCATCTTTTTCTCCCAGCGCTTTTTCCCAGTTCATCTTTCCCCCAGTGCATCTTTCCCCCAGCACATCTTTCTCCCAGTTCATCTTACCCCCAGCACATCTTTTTCTCCCAGCACATCTTTCCCCCAGTACATCTTTTTGCCCCAGCACATCTTTTTGCCAGTTCATCTTTCCCCCAGTTCATCTTTTTGCCCCAGTTCATCTTTTTGCTCCAGTTCATCTTTCTCCCAGTTCATCTTACCCCCAGCACATCTTTTTGTCCCAGCACATCTTTCTCCCACTGCACCTTTCCCCCAGTACATCTTTTTCTCCCAGCGCATCTTTTCCCCAGTTCTTCTTTTCCCAGTGCATCTTTTTGCCCCAGCACGTTTCCCCCAGCACATCTTTGCCCCAGAACATTTTTGCCCCAGTTCATCTTTCCCCAGTGCATCTTTTTGCCCCAGCACATCATTCCCCCAGCACATTTTTCTCCCAGCACATCTTTCCCCCAGCACATCTTACCCCCAGCTCATCTTTGCCCCCCCCTCCATCCCCCCCACCCCGGGCAGGGGAAGGGGCTGGGGTTCCCCAGGAGCAGGAGAAGGGGAATAAAGTTGGGATTGGGGAAAACGCTGCCGCTGGAAGAGGCAGCAGCAGGGCTGGGCAGGCAGCCAGGCAGGGATGTCCAACACATTCCCCCTCTCAGGCCTGACGAGCTCGTAATGAGCCGTACGAGGGAGGGATGGAAACTGAACGGATACGGACGGGGGGGGGACGGGGTTAATTAGTCCTCATCCCCCTTTAACGAAGCCCTGGATGTGCTTTTACCCAAGAAACGCAGGGAACCCCATAAATGTGTATGGAAACGTCTGCACAGCCCCCCATTGGGCCCCCCCCCCAAATGTATGTGGCTGTTTCTTCGCGTGTTTACACCAACACACGTGTGCGCTTACACCAACACATGTGTACACTTACACACACACACCCAGTTCATCTTACCCCCAGCACATCTTTTTGTCCCAGCACATCTTTCTCCCACTGCATCTTTCCCCCAGTACATCTTTTTCTCCCAGCGCATCTTTTCCCCAGTTCTTCTTTTCCCAGTGCATCTTTTTGCCCCAGCACGTTTCCCCCAGCACATCTTTGCCCCAGAACATTTTTGCCCCAGTTCATCTTTCCCCAGTGCATCTTTTTGCCCCAGCACATCATTCCCCCAGCACATTTTTCTCCCAGCACATCTTTCCCCCAGCACATCTTACCCCCAGCTCATCTTTGCCCCCCCCTCCATCCCCCCCACCCCGGGCAGGGGAAGGGGCTGGGGTTCCCCAGGAGCAGGAGAAGGGGAATAAAGTTGGGATTGGGGAAAACGCTGCCGCTGGAAGAGGCAGCAGCAGGGCTGGGCAGGCAGCCAGGCAGGGATGTCCAACATATTCCCCCTCTCAGGCCTGACGAGCTCGTAATGAGCCGTACGAGGGAGGGATGGAAACTGAACGGATACGGACGGGGGGGGGACGGGGTTAATTAGTCCTCATCCCCCTTTAACGAAGCCCTGGATGTGCTTTTACCCAAGAAACGCAGGGAACCCCATAAATGTGTATGGAAACGTCTGCACAGCCCCCCATTGGGCCCCCCCCCCAAATGTATGTGGCTGTTTCTTCGCGTGTTTACACCAACACACGTGTGCGCTTACACCAACACATGTGTACACTTACACCAACACATGTGTACACTTACACCAACACACGTGTAAATGTTCCCAGCCCAAAACTCCTCTGTGGGAATCCCACAGCCATTTATGCACAATAATTTACCCCCATTCTCAAAATCTACCCCAAGTCGTGCCTCTCTGTGCACACACACACACACACACACTCTCTCCTCCTTGCACGGTGATATTCAGATTTTGCTAAAAAAAAATAACCTACTCTTCTTATCTGCAAGACAAAACCTTTCAGCTCCGAGTGAGAGTCCAACAAACCACCCAAATCCTGAGCACAAAGTTACCCCCATGAAGCCCTCAGCTGATGGGAACGTGGCGTTGGGGCTCCCTGGAGGTGCCCTCTCAAGGCTTGGAGCTTCCAACCACCTGCCCCGTCCCCAGCGTGGGGTGAATTTGGGGTTGTGTTTCTCTTCCCCTCCCCACCATCAGCTTCGGAGACAAACCAGCCAAGGACCCAGAACCGCGACCAGCGCAGGAGCGGGGAGCTCCAGTTCCTGAATTAGCCTCATCCACCGTAGCCACCCCCTGTGGCCGTGACTCTGCACCTTCTTCAACCTCCTCTACTCCCTTCCCACTTTAATCCCTTTTCTCCTTCCCTTCTTGTCCCCTTCCTGCAGTCCCAGCACCTCCTTTCTGGTCCTCGGTGGTGGAGGGTCTTGCCCCACCAGCTGCTCTGCCCTTGGAAGCAACGTGTCCATGGGAGACCACCACCCTGTCCCTGGCTGGTGGTGACCTGGGCCACCTCCAGGTGTGTCCCCATGGCTGTGTTTCACCTGCTGTCAACAATAAGCATCCCTGGAGCATCGTTCCCAGAGCTGCTGCTCCGGTCCTGAGTGCAGGATCCGGAGAGGATGCGGCCGGGCTGGGAGAAGGAGGGGAGGTGGGTTCTGGGGGTGGCCACATGCCATGGTGGCTCAGTCCTTTCAGCTTTTCAGTGGCGAGGTGTTGGTCTGACATCCAGGATTGGCTTCAGGGACAAACCAGCCAAGGACCCGTGCACAGCTCCGTACCTCCGTGCGCACCTTCTCTTTAAATACTCTCCCCCCTGCTCTTAGGGACCAGGGAGCTGCTCTCCATCTCCCCAACCATCTCCCTGGCTCTTCTCTCTCCCTCTTATCCCAGTGCTGCCGCTCTGAAACCATCGGGCCTCTTCTCCTCTCCCCCTCCAAACTCCGGGGGTGCCCCATCCCACCGCGCTGGAGCTCCAAGGCCACGTGCGGAGGAGCCACCGCAGCAAGAACCTGCCTCCTGACCCCACAGGGCAGGGAAGGGGATGAGCCACCACCTCCTGTCCCCTCCTGGGACACCTCACCCTGGAGTAGGGGAGGCTGAGAAACCTCCTTCTCCTTGGACGGTGAACCTGGCCCAGGAGCAGCCCAGGAACCACTCACCGGTCCATGGAGGTCCATGGAGGGCACAGGCTGTGGGACACGTTGTTGTCCCCATCTC